TGCTTGGTCTGCCTTTCCATAATTCCTGTAGAAGATACATAAATCCAGCAAATAATCACTGTTTAAGGAAAACGCAAGGCAAATAGTGATCTTTTCATTACATTAGCTGTAAGAGGGCAATATTTCATGTTATAAGAAAGCAAGCTGTGATCCTATTTTCTGTTATGAGTCATTTTGATCAACTCTGAAATATACTTCAAAGAAATCCTTGAAGCTTTCTTCCCTTCAAAAATGGTAGAACATAAATTTTGAAGTTTTGGGGGCCACAATCAAAAGATCATATTATAATTCATGGTTAGTAAGTGTATATCATCTACTCGTGTTCTTTATTTGCAGTGAGGTATTTGGGTTTATTGTTTGTGTGTGAGTATGTAGATTTATAAACGCATGTGTAACTATGTAGGTACACAAATATTCCAGACCAAATTGTGCTGCCTACCCCTTTCCATGTGTTGTATATGCACCTAAACAAATGTGGCTACAATACCATTAACATTTTAAAAAAATAGATGCTGGCTGCATCATAAATTAGAAATAGGTGAAGATTATTAGTTTTTTTCATAACAAATTTGTTATCAGGTAATTTATACATTCAAAACAAACATCAAACAAAATTCTGATGGTCCAACAGACTATCATTTAGTGTATTAGCAAGCAGCTACATGACAATTCACAGAATTGTGCAGTATACAGGGTGTCTGGTAGTCCCAGTTTCCCAGGACAGTCCCAATTTTTGCACTGAAGTCTCAAGTCCAGGACCTTTGATCATCTTCTACGTGGCCTCTTCCCTTAAATGCCCTAACCACACACTGAAGGAAAGATTTGCTGGAGGCTTATGACAGAGTTGTGAAGCACAATGTAGTCAAGTATCTTGTTTACATCTTGTGGGAAAAAGCCTCTGGGCTATCGGCTGGACACAGAAATCCAGGACTGTGGCCTCAGATGCCATTATTAAAGATAAATATGAAGAATCTACTAGTCCCCTGTGCCCTTTTCCTGCAACAATGGAGTGTCTAAAATATTTTAGCCTGTCCACAAATCTTGAAAATCACTCATTTCACCATGAATAATTCATTTCTAGTACCAAATATTCTGGTGGCTTAGATCATTGATGAAAGAAACCCCCTTTCAAAGTGTGGTCATTATTTTATTTTTAAAAGGCATGCTCACTCACATATGGAATGCAAAAAAGGTGAGTCCCATAGAGGTTGAGAGTATAGGAGTTACAGGAGCCTGGAGACAAGGAGAGAAGAATGGAGAGATATCAGTCAAAGTCACTAAGTTATTGTCAGATGGAAGAAGTAAGCTCTGATGTTCTTTTGCATAGTTAGTTGACAATAAGAATTGATAATGTATGTTTCAAAAAACCTAGAAAAAAGGATTTGAATGTTTTCATTAAAAAGATAAGCATTTGAGGACATAAATATGCTTACTTGGCTTGAATATTACACAGTGATTACATGTATTATAACATCATGTGATACTTCATATACACGAAATGTATTTTTTGTGTCCATTAAAAAAATTCTTCTTTGTTGATCACCAGAGCAATTTTAGCCTCCTATAGTTTTCTGATGACTACCACTAAATTAACATTAGGCAATCATAATGTTATGAGTTTTATCTAGCTGTCCTCCGAAAGCCCAGTGCAGTCATAGGTGGGGCTTTTTGGAGCTGGCTAGATCTAGAGTGTGTGATACAGAGATTAAGGATCTATGGTACTAAATTAGTCTACTGATTGGAATTAGCATAGTTCTGGGTGTGAATAATGGAAGCCTCACCCTGGGTGTGAATGGTGCCAATCAATAGGCTTTGAGCCTGGATAGAATAAAAAGGGAGAGAGGGAAGACAGACTTGCTGCTGGTTGTTGCTTGGTGCTTTGCCATGAAATGTTGCTCCTCTGCCATGCCCCTCTGCCATGCCACCCTGCCTTGGAGCCAGCTGATTTTGGACTGAAACCTCTACAAACTGTGAGCTAAATAAAACTTTCTTCCTTTGACTTGTGAGTGTCAGGTATTTTTTTCTCAGCAATGAGAAAAGTAACTGATACAGATATGATTCTGTATGTGATCAAATGTCAACATCCCAGAGATACAGTTTGGGGCAGTGGTGGTGAACAAATGGCACGCTCGTTATCGTTGAAAGCTCTAAAAGATTTGCCATCACTAGTTTGGGGGAATGAGGCTTGAATTCTAGTCCTTCCAGTATCTCTTAACAAGCTCTTTAACTCAAATAGGTGACTTCAGTTTCTATGACCTTTTGTGTCTTGTGTATTTAATTCTAAATATTGGAATTTTTTATTGTAATTTTGAAAGAGTTTGTCTTTTTAAAAAAAAACAAAACTTCAATAACAATTGTAGTTCAAAAAGTGTCTTGTGTTTCCACACAAATAGACTTAACCATTAAGTAGAAATGTGGCTGATTTCCATGTTGCTGGTCTTTCAGACCTCTTTAACGCCTTTAGAGATGGTAGCTGATTTTTTTGAAGCAGAGAATGTAGCCATGAACAAAGTGGTGTTTTGTAGACAGGTCAGCACCTTCAAAGTTTCAAAGCCTTTTTGACTCTTATAGTGAGCATATCTAAATGATTGAAAGAGCTTCATTCAAACACTGAGTGTGTGTTTATTTTATATTCAAAGACAATGCCCTAAATACTCATTTGCTAGGAATGTAGAACCTACAATCTTGGCATGAATTTCTCTGGATGGAATTTGCTGCACAGATAAAGCACAAAACACCGCAAGATTTGACTCTGAGGACATTCCCTTTGATGAAACACTCCAATAAGTTTATGGGAATATTATTTAGCCCCTTGTTTATGTGAGAACAATGACTTTTACAATCCAAGGTGAAGATATCCAAACCAATTTTCTAGACTATTTCAGTTAATTTCTCAAACTGAGGTGCTGCCTCATTCTGACATCTAAATCAAGTGAGGCTATACACTTCAAGGCACAAATTAGAGGCCTGGCCCCAGACCTAAGTGGTTAGACTGCCTGAGAATCGATGCAGGCCATTTAAGCATCAGGACTGACTATGTTTCATTTTTGACACGCGAGTTTATGCTTATTGAGTTTGAGAGCTTTAACTCTGTAGCAGCAATAAACTCATTAGAAAGTGTCAGCTGGGATTATAATGCATGTTAAATAAATACCACCAGTGTGGAGACAGCCTTCATTAATTTCTTAGTAGAGTATCTGTATGTGGAAGCAGCCTCAGCAGTTTGGGGCATAGTGGGATTTGAGAAGAATTTCTCACTATACCTTAGTGCTCAAATTGCAATATTTGTAAAGAATGCCTATGAATAGAAAATTTCTTTTTCACTAGAATCCTCTAACAAAATGATGTGCCAACTAGCACTGGCTCTCCTCTTCTTCTAGTACTAGATATTGAACCCAGTGTCTTTACACTGAGCTACATCATCATCTCTTTTAAAAAAATTTTTTAAAAATTTTGAGTCAGGGTCTCCTTAAGTTGTTGAGTTGTGCAAGGAGGGCTATAACTTGAGAGCCTCCTGCCTCAGTCTCCCAGAATGCTGGGATTACAGGCATGTCTCATGCCTGCTTAAAAAAACATAATGAAAAGTCTGCTCAATGTGCTCTGAAACCTGGGAACTGTTGGAATGAAACTCTAGGTATCTGGAAGTCCTGTGTTGGACAGACATACAGGTAGGTTGTTTAAACAAATATGAACCCTTCTTCACAGCACATCTTCTAAAAATGATTCTTTACAACAAATTTTAAGGATGGTGGGTTGATACTATATAACCATTGGTGACATTATGATGAATGGAGTTGAGAGGAAACAAGATGCCAGATAGCAGGGCCATGAGAAATGCCCTTTGTGAAAGATACATGGGCTCTCTCTACTCAAGCATCATCTATGCTCCCACCCTGAGGTCTCGGCCCAGCCCTGTCTTTCTGGCACATACAGTTTTGCTCCATAAGTGGAGTAGAATCCCCACCAAGGACAGCTGGTGGTGAGAAGAGAAGCTTTGCTGTTGCACTGTCCACTTATTTTCCCATCAGCTAGGATTTACCTGAGTTGCCTGGGAACCCACTGACTCTGCTTTCAGCTCCTCTCTGAGTCAAGGAAAGCAAACTCCCTCACTCTCTCACCTTCTAAATAGGAATTCCTGTTAAATGCTATTGCTTAACTTTTACATGGCTTTGAAATGTGACCCAAATTATGTCCTGTCTCTACCCATGAGGCTCTCCTTTGCCCTTCCTTCAGCAACTTGTCCTTTCCTACCTTCAAGCAGACTCATTCGTCCTGTTAATTTTCCCAGAGCTTATGTTAATTACATTTAAAAAGTTTCTTACAAGAGCAAACAAAAGAGCTTATGAAAATAATTGGTCTCGTAGACATCATACAGTTCGTGTAATGGGTCATAGAATTCTAGTAGGAGCTGTGATTTATACCACCCCCTGATCCATGTCTTCCTATATTATATTTTCCTATGTTAAATTAGAAACCAGGAACCAGAGTTGTTGTTTTATTCCTAGATTATACTCTGAGAACCAGCTGAGTATTGAGAATCTTCCCATAGGCCTGGAGAACCTGCTGGCTTAGAAAATGTGGGTACAGAACCCTAGCCTCTCAGCCTTACCACTGAAGAATAACTTGAAGACTTCCTCTGGTGATCTTGCATGTGACAACCTGGAAATAGTTAACTGTCTCTAATAATTAATGGACCTGTTCTTGTACAATTAAAAAAAGTACTGGGTCTTAATGAAAAAGAATGAAGTCATTTACTAAAATGTTAATCCATGTAAAGTACTTGGAACAGAGCCCAGCCTGGAGTAAGTGCCTCTGCTGATTATTTTCCATTTGACCCTTCAGCAACCTCTCTAGCCTTCTCTCTTCCCAAGGATGGCGATCTCTATGGAGGACTACATCACCCAGGTTCCCTTGCCAGCCAGCTTCAGTTTGTAGCCAGTCAATGGGAGGAAATGTCCGGGGACTAGAAGGTGGGAGGAGCCAGGATAGAGAACTTTCTCTCCCTCCTACTTCTGCTTACTCTTCTGACAACTATTGGATCACTCCTTGGAGCTAACACCCCACTAGGTGTCTCTTCCTGCACTTCTGCTTGATTGTTTCCTTCCTTCCTCCAGCCACAGGTGAGTTAATGGTTTCTCTCTGTTGCTGATCCCTGAATACTTAAGTCTCTCATTGCCATTTCTTAATTCTGCACCAATTTCTAAATAGTCCCTTCCTTACAATCTTTCCACTTAAATCACTGGTTCCCAACCCTTGATGCACATTATCATTACCAAAGGAACATTTAAAACTGTCAGTGCCTGGACCCTCGCCCCAGAGATTAGTGTAACAAGCTTGAGAAGGGTCTGCATTTAAGAGCTCTGCAGGTTATGAAGCCAGAGTTGAGAACGACTTATTGAAACCACCTGAGTGAATTGTTTCCAGCCAAGATCCTGACAGAGTGCTCAGTGACTACTACTTATTGTTATTAAAACTACTGCCACAGTACATCTTCACATACCATGCTAATATTAATCATTCTCCCCAGTTTACAGATGAGGAAACGTACATGGTGGTTAAGTAATTTTCAAAAAAATCAATTGATTTCTGTATGGCAGGGTTAGAGTTCAACTTATTTGGCTCAAAAGCTCATACACTCTTAACATGTGGAAGATAATTTTTATTTTATGTAGTACCTTTAATCTGGCAGAACAATTTCATTATTTCATTGTACTGTGGCATAGTTTCATAGAAGTTTTAATACTGTTATACCATAACCAGAATAAGGACTTTTAAGTTTTTCTCTTGATACAAATAGTCTTTTAAAAACAAACATATATTTTTCATGTTTTTTAGAGCAGTTTTGGGGTCATAGCAGAATTAAGCAGAAGTACAAAGACTTCTATCACCTGTGCCCCACAATTCATAACCACTTCCCAAATCCACACCCAACGGAATGGTGCTTTTGTTACAGTGAGTGAACTTGCATTGACACATCGTTGCTACCCAGAGCTTATAGTTCACATTAGGCTCAATTCTTTTGTACAGCTCATGTTCTTTATGCTGTTTTTACTATGATGTACTTCCAGAACCAGAGCATCTCATACTTTAATGTGCATATGAAACACTTGGGGATCTTGTTCAAATATACTCATTTTTTGATTCAGTACTTCTGAGGCCTTAGTGTACATTTCTGACATCCTTTCGGGTGAGCTGTGATGCCAGTCCAGTTTCTAACCCTTGACTATCAAGGGCATACAAATGATTTCCCACCCACTTCATTATTTAAACCTTCAAAATTTCGACTCCTACCCTCACCATTTCCATAAGATACTGCATCTTACGTCACTGACAAAAGAGTCTTACATATTCACTTTATCATATCCACCCATGTAGCTGCACCTGCACCTGCTTTCCCACTTATAGCTATGGGAAGGACATTTGTGTTCACATTCCCACCCATTCTAGCTGATGCAACAGATCCACCTTCTGTACACAATGGGATTTCTACATAACTACTCCCCTTTGTTCTGTGTCATTATATTTGTCCCTCTTTTCTGGTTTGTTTCTATCAGCCTAACATAGAAGCATTATTCTTCTTAAAAATTGAAGTTAGAGTCCTCCCTCCAACACCAATTCCCACTCCAACTTTTATACTCATTTCAAAAAAAAAAATTAAGTTTTCAATTCTTTTTGTTTTGGTTTCCAGTTGTATTCCATTCTTTGGCCTATTCTACCTTAATCAACTCTCATCAAGGCCATTAAAGAGATTCACATTGCTAAATCTAGTAGTCTCCACCTTACTGTGTGTCACTATTTAGTACATTAATAAGCTCCTTCCTCCTTGATAGTTTCTTCATCTGGGTCTTTAGAATACATATTCTCTGGTTTTTTTGTTTTGTTTTTCCAACTTCATCAACCACTCCTTTTAATTTTTTGAGTCATTCCCTTTCCTCTGACCTCATAACTTTTCCATGTTCCAATTTGATCTTTGGTTCTACATTGTCTGTTTTGATGATGCTCTTTAGCAGCAGCATTTTAACTACCATACACATGTCAAGTTTGTATGATTTTTCACCTGAAATCTGGCCTCCTAAAAACTGCCTATGCAATACTGCTATGGAGACGTCTAATAGGTGCTTCAAACATAATATATTGAAGACTGAGTTAATGTTCCCCCTTATATTTATTTCACCCATACTATTTCTCATCTTAGTCAGTGAACTTGCATCTTTCTAGTTGCTCACATCAAAAAAGTCTTGCAGATATTCTTCACTTGCCTCTTTCTTTCATGCCTTATATCCAACGTAATGTGCGGTGCTGTTGACTCTTACATATATTCAGAGACAGACTCCCACAGTTATCCACAGCTACTGCTACTGCAGTTTTTCTCAATCTCTCCTGGATTCTACACTTACTACCTGATATCCAGAATTTTTGAACAAAGCATCCTTTCTAAATGTAAAACAGATCATGTGACTTTGCAATTCAATGCCCTGTGACAGACTTTTCCCTCAGTACAAGCTACAGTTCTCACATCAAAGGGTATATGGAATCCACCTTCCTACCTAGGTTCTTAACCTTACTTCTGAGACCTTACCTTTTACTACTTTCCTGCTCTGTCCCTGCCCTTAAAGCACATTAGCTTCCCTGAGGCTCCTTGAACTTACCTGGTAGGCTCTGCCTTCTTGCCTTTGCACAGCGTTTCTTCTCTCTTTAGAATGTTCTTCCTTTGGTATCTCTACAGGTAGTGCTCCCAACTCCTGAAACTTTTGCTCACGTCACCTTCTCAGTGAGCCTTATCTTGATCCCGTTTTTGCAATTGCCCTCCATCCACACTCTTTGTCTTTTCTCTGGCTTTTCTGATTTTCATTTGTCTACTGAATTTTTAATTTCTTTTCTATATTATTTAATCTCCTATACATTACTGTTATTTATTAGAATATGAATTTCCAGGATGACAGGGATTATTGCCTTTTCTTTCCTAGCATTAAGTAACTAAAAATGTTTCTGGCATGCAGTGATACTCAAAAAATTTTGTTGAAAAATAAACAAATAGGTCTTAAGACGGCAGATAATAGCATAAAATTTTCTTAGTCAAGAACCAAGGATCTAAATGTTCTATGTCTGGTAATGAGACTCAGACATACAAGAAATGAAGGTCTAGTTTCTTTCTAGACTTAATTAGGTCATAATTAGTGATTTCCTGTTACACAGAAGTGAGACAAATGTTTTTTCCTAGGATTTGGCTTCCTCTAAAATATTTCAGTCTAAGTGAACAGCTATCTCCTACTTTTGGTGCTTAACAACATTTGCCAGTATTTTATAGTATGAAAAAAATGTCTTGCAGCATGGAATTTGGGCTGACAGAATATATAGGGCAATGTTGAGGGTTTGGGGTAATGTTCAGCATTTCACTGCATAAAGCCCTCAGGGTAATATTCTCAAGAAGAATCAATAATTGGAAGCCATCTAAATAGCTTTGTTCCCCCGAATAAGAACCTGGTTACTTTATCAAGAAAACAGATGTTTATTGCTTTCAGGCAGAAAACATGTCAGGCAGGTTTACAAGGCCCCTTTCCATCTTGAAAGCATTTTTGTCAGCTTCCTCAGCCTTGAAGAAAATTACCAAATCAAGCTTTGAAAGGTAGATGATTAGTGGGCGTCACACTTGGCATCTCATTTCTTCATCCCTGCCTGGGCTATGGAGATGGTAGTGACCTCCTACTTAGAGAAAAACACATTTTTGTCTCAGGGCCTTTTCTTGGAGCAGAAAAACCATGTAACTATATGCTAATGTCAAAAATCAAAAGAACCTGGCAGGAGGCACTCAGGGTGGCTCAGATTGTGGTTTACAAACAATGATTCAATAGCTGGCATTTATTATAAGAGAGAGAGAAGGATCTCATATCTTTGCTCCAGAAGTAATTTGGTGCAGGCTGAAAGAGTCACCTAGAAAATGTGTTCATCCTTTTTGCTTATTCAGAGCTTTCAAGGATCAATATTTATATCTCCCAGGAACACTTAGGAGAAAACAACGACAGTTCTAATAAGTGGTCAGAGTCTCTGAAAGTCTAAATCCCATGTGCAGAACACACTCTATAACATTCTCCAAATGCAAGGACTGACTTTGAATGTTTTAACTTTCAACCATTTTAATAATGACTGAAAAAAATACATGAAGTGAGTGTGTGGGAAAGAGAGTTTCAAGGTTTTGTGTGCTTTTTGAGGTGGAGGAAAGCCAGGACCAAAGGAGCCTGAAGAATCCTTCTCCACACTGGAGTGCATGCATGGGAAACAAGTGGAATGGGAATCCAAGCATTGCCTGCAGATCCGATCAGTACCTGTTTCACACACATATGTTACTTATATGGGTATGCCACTATGTCAGACTAAGAATCCTTCAAGCCAGTGTCGGGGTTGCTTCGCAGCCAGCCACTACTAGTAAATACACCAGCTGCATTTTGTCAGTGGACCGAGGAGACACCCAGTGTTGCCTTTATGCATTCTGTTTAGTTCTCTGTTCTTTCCATATGAGTGGGTCATACTCCCACAACATGAGCAACTGCACAAAGGCGATGGGAAAGCATAGGATCTGGAAATAGTTGAACTGGGTTTGAGTTCCAGCTTTGAGTATAGTAGTGGAAGGGAGAAGAAACTGTAGGGAAGAAGAATTTTAGCCCTCACTTTTTCCTGGCTCAAGGCCCTATATCAAAAAATGGATTAATAAGAGAAAAGCATGGAAACTTAAGTTTTATGGGATAGGGGCTTCACATGGAAATGAAATCCTAAAGAAATAGGTAAACCCTTGTATATATTGAAGAAGCACATGGTCTTGGACAAGTATAATTGGATCAAGTGGGTATGATACAATGGTAATAAACTAGGGGAACTTAGCAAAGCCTATTTATTTAAATGCTTCTCTATCTCCCTGTGTCTTCAGAGATAAAGATGTTCCTTCAGGAAGGACCCTCCCACATTAAGGTTTTATCACTTATGGCAGGGATAAAGGGTGAGAAGGTGAGAGTAGACTTGTTGTTTCTGCTGTTTTCTCAGCTGCCAAGATGCCATATTTGGTGACAGCATTCCTGAACCCTATCATTAGCTTCAAGTAAAGAGCCAGGCATTCAACATTTCTGAGACTTAAATTCTTTATTCCCTTGAATCAAAATAATGCCTCCAGCACAGGATGAATATAAGGATAGAATATTGAAAGTGACTTATAAATTAATGTTCTACAAATACTAGTTTCCTAAGTGACATGTAACTCTATAGGGTTCACAGTCTAAGTCAATTATTGACAGCTGTTCATCTGATTTTCTTGGTCTTGGCTGTTCCCTCTCAGTCATTTTATCCTAAGAAATTGTGTTAGCTGGTGGGGAAGGAGCACATGAGAAAATTATATTTGTTCCTCATGAATACAGCTATTATTGTGCTTATGTTGCCTCCGCTTATCTAAATATTATACTGACGGATGGCTGTCTCTGTCTTGTGCTCCCAAAAATAAACTCATGGAACTCATGAAGCTCATTTTAAATGTAATATCTGCAGTTTTCAGCATCTGACATGCAGAAGCATCCACAAAATTTACCCACGACCCCTAGTACTTCCCCTCCTTGATATGTACTCTAGCTATGTAAATTCATGCCTAGGATTACATAGCAATTGACTTTTGGTTATTTTCCTCCAGAGAAGTTCACCTCTATAGATCTTCAATGGGCTATGGAATATTTCCATGGACTTAATACCTTGGGCTTCAATTGTATACACCTTTCTTTTTTTTTTTCTTTTTTCAGTTCTCAATTCATGGCTCTTCATGGCCAAAATACTATGCGCCACCCATGGAGGTGATTATATTGACAGAAAGGAAGTTAGGAACCTAAAACGATGCCATTTTGCCACTAGTGTAAATGTACATATATGAGGGAGTAGGGAAATGGTGTTAAAAGTAGATAAGAAAAAAAATTGAATTACTTTCTCAGAAAATACTACCACAGAGCCAACCAAAAATGGCCCAGGTCAAGGACAGGAAATTAGCAAGAGGTGTAAACAGAGAAGTGAATGACAAAAGATAGGTAGGTGGGTGTAGACCAAGGTCTTTCAGTGTTTTGAAGAATCTTTTCAAGATTTCATATCTGTTTAAAATCTATTCCCATTTCTGATTACTGATATTTAAGAAGGATGACACTAATTCCAAAGTTATAATTCTTTATTGATTTTTTCTTTAAAAATTAGTCTAGAATAGTGATGGTGAACCTTTTAGAGCTTTCAATGATACAAGTAGCCTACTGTGATACACGTGCCATAGATGGCACTGGTCTAGAAGGTCATATTGGTAGTTATAACTCCTTATCAGTAATAAGAAACCTACTAACTCCTAATATAAGACTTTCTTTTTTACTGGAATGTCCTTATGGCACCCCAAACCTGCTGGCAATAATCTGTATGATTTTTTTTTGTTATATTCAACACAATGTAAAGGACATACTTAAAAAAATTGAAGTTGGCTAGAGGACAGAAAGGAGTAGTGTTGGCTATCTGTAAAGTAACACTAATAGTTTATATCTTTGTAGGATTGTATTTTGGAAGTTATATAGTAGTATTTTTCCTAGTCTTCACACCAAAAGTTGGATAAAGTTGAGAGTAACCCTTCTTTCTTATAGCTGAAGAATCTTGATTAGTAGTGATGTCTAAACCTTTGAAAGTTATCCTTCACCTTGTGTATCTACATCTACCTTTTTCTCGCTCATGAGATAACTCCTCTTTAAGAAAAGAGGTCTGAACCAGGCATGGTGGCACATGCCTATAGTCCCAGCATTCTGGGAGACTGAGGCAGAAGGATAACAAGTTGGAGCCCTGTATGTATGTGTGTGGGTGTGTGGGTGTGTGTGTATACACCATGGTACCACAGTTCATGAACTTATTTCATTCCACGATTCTCAGGAAGATGGCCAAGTTTGTGTTCCTCAGCCGATGCAGAGTTCAAGAATGGAAGCAAAATTTTGAGACCACTTCTCTTTAGGAACAGAATTGTTCACAAACAGAAGCATCCATGAACCCAGGTACCACTTTATATGTATTCTGACTCAAAATATAGGAAAAAATAGGTATCTGATAGTCAAACTTCACTAAGTAACACACACAAAAAAACTTAGGCAACTTTCACTAAAGAATTGAAATGCTACTGATCAAAGCAAAGAACATTATAGAAGTTGAAAACTTTATTACTTTCCTAGCAGTACCAGGGATTGAGTTCAGGGTCTTCACATTGAGCTACAACCCCTGCTCTTTTAAAATTTGTTTTTTCTTTTTTTTGGTACCGGGGATTGAATTCGGGACCTTGCACTTGTGCAGCAGGAGGCGAAACCACTGAGCTAAGTCCCTGGCCCCTAAAATTTTTTATAATCAGAAAAGTTTTCACTACATTGCTAGATCACCCAAGCTGGGCTATAATGTGAGACCCTCCTGCCTCATCCTCCCAGAGTGTTGGGAAGTGGCAGACGCCACCACATATAGGTTAAAAACCTTTTAAAGGTAACTTTGCTATGCACACCCAAATTGGGGAAGAAAAGGGGGGTCTTCTGTTAGTACAAATGCATTTTATAAATTTATCTTTATAGTTTATTGTGTAGTCACTTTTTATGGACCATTAGGTTGCTTTGATGGGTAAGACAGTATAAAACAGAAGGTCATAGGTCATAAGTGCAGTTATAGTAGTGAGTTACCACACACAAAAAAATCATGATTTGAGCAAGAAAACAATTTATCAATGGATTTTTAGGTTAAACTGATCCAGACATCAGCAAAAGGCAGCACAGGCAGTTTGTCTCATTAAGTCATCAAAATCTAGTGGCCAGCAGTTAATTGGTCACTGTCTTGATAGAGTCCTAGTTAACTTTGGGAAGCTTTCACTACTGACTTCTCAGTAGTGACAGGCCTTGCTTTCCCTCCTCCAGTTGCCATTGCCTGGGGCAGGAGCTTCCTTCATGCTGCTCTCAAAAGAAATGATGACCTCTCTGCCAAATTGCTTAAGGATGAAGTTAAAAACTGATGTGAACACCATTATTTCTCCTTTAATGCGGTATTGGGGTTTTTTGGCTTCATTAGACTGTAGGGAACTTTTCTTCTAATTTCTTGTGTTTTGTTGAACTCACTATTAAAAAAAAAAAACCATAAGGGGTTAAGTTACAGGGCTGCTCAGTACAGTTAATAAGAAAATATCCTCTGAGACTCTCTAAGATGGGAACAGAGTATAGAAGATTACTAAACCCTTATTTGCCATGAAATTCAAGAGATATTACTTCTCATTCAAATATACTTTGGGAAACCTTAGAGATATTCCAATTAAAGTTAAGAACAAAAGAAGCATGGCAGTTACTTCTTTTTAAACATTATTTCTGAAGTGCTGATGCAATACAACAAAATAAGGAGTTTAATGGATAAACATTTAAGTAGAGGAAACATTTTCATTTAGAGACTGATTTCCTTTTACCAAATGCAAAAGGATTAAATAAAACACTATTAAAATTAATAAATGACTATAAAAGAACATTAAAATAATATTTTAATAAATATATAAAAGCCTATGAAGAAAAATTAAAAACTGAAAACTGTTTTCTCACCATTACAAAATTTACAAATTTATCATTTACAAAATTGGTCATTTTGTTAAATATAAGAATAAAATTTTGACTTGGTGAGTAGTCTTGTTAATGTAATTTCATGAAATGATTTTTCTGGTTTCCTTACACTTCTTTGGTCGACTCCATTGTATCATGGATTTAAGTCTGCCAAGTTCAACATTCCACTGTTTATTTATTTTTTAATCTCTATTTTCTGGCTAAGATTAAACACTTCTTCAGTTTCTTCACCAGCACTAGCAATGCTTTATTTCTCCCACAAGGCCCATTTCTCACAAGTATACTAAGTTTTTATCGTGTAAGAACAGCTACTGTGTATGAGAGTGGAGGAGAAAATAGGACTAAGGTAAGACATGCATAAGGAGAAGCCAGCTTGTTTCATGTAGTGGTATGGTGAATACCTGCCCACACACCATTCCTCAAATGTGCAGCTCAAATCCAGGCCTCCAGAGAACTACTGAGTGCTCTGTGGCATCAACCTTTGAGGTTGCATCTGAAGGATACTAAGTGCTAGTACTAGATTATGACACAGAATCCCCGATTGCCAAGAGTATACTGAACTTTTATGAATACCGTGATATTTGTCATCTTCAGCTTTGTGGACATGTCACTCCAGGTCACCTAGGATTAACTCATTTTAGTTAAAAAATGTTCCCTATCATGTATCTGATTGACATATTTAAAAATGTGTATAATATCTGAAGTTTGTGAGATTGCATACTCTGATAATGCAAGATAAGTGCATTTAGCAATTAAAAATGTATGAGCATCTTCAAAATAATACTGTGTGCAAGATTATAGATAAGCTAACAATTCATCTACCGACTGCCCTTTCATCATAAGGGTTATGAATTCCACTTAACACATAAGAAAGCATAGACACTAAGAGGTTAATAGGGACATTGTAGATATAGAATTAAGAGTCAAAAATTCTTAGAATTAAGCCATTTTTCTACTTTTTAATTTCTATATTAGATTTTTTAAAATTCTAGCTTGTCAAATACTCTTGCTGTACTATGAAATACTGAAATGTATTTACAGCCAAAGCACTCTGTAGACATACATACAAAAGTAAGAATGTAGAAAATCATTACAGCCAGTCTAGTGACTTGAGTTTGTGCTATTATTACATTTGGAAAGAGAATCTTCCTTATACTTAGAAATCTTAACTAAGATCCAAAATACTGAAATGATTGTCATGCTCTGGTATGATTAAGACCCAGCTTTATGGTAATATTCCTTTTAAGCAGTTACTACCAGATGATCATAATTATTCCACAGACTATATTTTGACTATATTTCATGATAGTATAGTGGCTGAGTTCATGCATTCATATCAAGTGGATCTGAATTACAAGTACTGTGTCTTGTCTTCAGTTGGATTCAGTTGGAAGCAGCCCACGAGTTGGATTTGAGTGCTAGTTTATTTGGAGGTGATTCCAGAAGCAAGGGAATGAAACCAATAGGTGTTAATAATCAGCCTGCCACCAAAAGCAATTAGCTCTTACCCACTGATCTCCTTAGAGTGACAGTCATGCCCCAGAAGTGTCTTACTTCATGGTGCAAAAGCTAGGGTACATATCTGGTTCCTCTTTGTCCTTTGTCAACTTGCCTTTCTAGCCTGTCCTATGTGAGCGTAACATGTTTTGATGGCCAGCAGTGGCTCTTGGTTGGAGTGACTTCGAGGTCTGAAGCTGTGTTGTATGTATGGACCTGTAAGTGTTTTGGGGGTACAGTGAAAGTCAAGAGGGTATAGGTGATTATTAAAGGCATCAGCTACAATTCATTCATTGACCACTTGGATTTACTCAGATCCTCCTTGTTAGGAATTTTTCAAATATATGGACAGACAAAAGTAAAAAAACAAAACAAAACAAAAAAAGAGTATTTCGTGTGGCCCTTGCAGCTGGTCCCAAGATCATTATTTATATTATCTTCCTCTACCATGTTGTTTAGATTCCTTCCACCTTCCAGTGCTTTAGGTTATTTGTTTATTTATTTTCAGAAAACTAACCCAGTTTCTCATCTGAGATATCTATGCATTTGGACCTTTTTCAAGCTTGCTTATTGGAACTACTTGTTCAGGTTAATACTGAGCATTGAGCACACAGATGTACACTTAACAATTCCTGTGAGTTCAGATGGGGTTTTTTTGCCTTTAGTACATATTATTATATAGTATACTATTCCTTGCCATCAAAATATCTCTTCTTGATAGTTGCATACTACATTCACTATATTAATTCCCTTCTTTTCTCTTGTTCTACTGACATGGGAATCCCCAAATTACTAGATGGTTCCAATAGCTTTGGATTTCATGAAACTCACACCCTGTCCTTTGATATAAATCTTCCTTTTTAGGAATAGAACCTATCATTTAACAGAGCCCAATATAGAGATAGAGATCACAAATTACCATCAGAGACTAACTGATGGCAAGAATAGCCACTCCTACTTTAATTCTTTGGTTCTTGATTGCATGTTTTGTATCTATGTAATGGACACAAACCATTTAATGGCTTTTGATTGGAAGTATATCCTGTATTTTGAAGAATAACACTCTACCAATGCATGGCATCACACTCAAGCTGGAGTCTTAGCTCTACCTATAAAAAGCCATTTCTATCTTCTATCAGGCTGGGCATTTCAGAGTGCTCCTGTTTATGGTAGATCAGTGGGTCTCATGATTCATACTTTATATGTCCCAGTGTGGATCCTTTGAGTCTGAGGCAATGCTGATGTGAACAAGACATAAAATCAACTTTATACCACTTGGGTGATATGTTGTCTTAGAGGTATGATGTTAAGAGTCAGAGTTAGTCACCATTGTTTTCACTGGCAGCAGTAGCATCCTTGGAAAAAGGGAGTACATTCTTCTGAGCCTATGCTATCAGGAAACACTGCACCACAATTTGTACCAGCGTGTGGTGGCCATGGGTAGTGGCTTGATGGCATCTGCTAGATAAGCTATTCTATATCCTCTGATTAGTGCTGCCTCTGGGGCAGGTCATCACAGATGACCTGTTGGTATGGGATACAAAATTCCATGTATTTTAAATCCACTTTATTTAGTGCCCTTGGTATATCTTATCTCAGGTCTTCCACATACTTGGCTAACTCAAGCTTTTCTCCACCATCCAAGAGTCCATGTATATCCTCATCTCAGACACTTTTCTCTCCACACAGATTTAAAGGCATGATACTATATATCATCAAAATATGTCCATGTTCTAAATGTTTGGAAGATTTCACTTTTCCATTGTCTTTCTTTCAAATATGAGTTAGGTTATGGTGTAGAAATAATACATTTTCATCTTATGCTAATATATTGAACCGCCTTGTTCATGAAACAGATTCATATTTCTCTTTTTCCAGTGGGTCATAGGGGATTCCCCTCCCCCACCACACACAAAAAGCTGTGGCTGTGAGAAAATGGAGAACTCGCTGTACAGTGGATACCATGAGGATCTGGACCTGCTTTTGTGTCTCTTACCCTCAGCTTACACTAAACCCAATTGTAAGTAACAATTTCTACTACAAAAAGGGTGGATGTTGTGTTTAATCACTATTATAGTATAGATTTGACAATACTGACTTCCTGATGGACAGATCTGGATATACTTATTTACTGCCCCATCCAGTTCAGGTGCTTATTTTCTTCTGAAGCCCAGGAGCATGCCAGGTGCTGTTTTCATTATGTAGAAAACATAATATAAAATTAGCCACCTTAACTGTTTTAAGTGTATAATAGTAATAAATGTGTGTGTGTGTGTGTGTGTGTGTGTGTGTATATATATATATATATATATATATATATATATATGCAAGTTTTTGTGTAACAGATCTCCAGAAATTTCTCATCTTGCATAACTGAAATTCCACATCCATTCAGCAGTAACGTCCCTGTGTCTCCATCTCCTACACCCTGGCAACCACCCTTCTGTTTTCTAAGACTGGCTTCTTAGAAGCCTTGTGGAAGTGAATTCACACAGTATTTGTTTTTCTGTGATTGGCATATTCACTTAGCATAATGTTCTTGAGGTTCACCCATGTACCATATAAAAGTATTTCCTTTTTAAAGCTAGATAATACTCCAATGTATACATACACCATCTACTTATCTGTCAGTGGACATTCAAATTGCTTCTACTTCTTGGCTACTGTGAATGATGCTGAAATGATGCTGAACATGAGCAAGCAAAGTTTATTCAAGATTGCCTTTTAATTATTTCAGGTATATACTCAGAAATGAAATCAAGGGGTCATATGGTAATCATATTTATGTCATTGCCATACTATTTTGATAATTGTAACTTTGTAACATTTTTTGCAGTCAGAAAGTGTAAATGACCCAGTTTTAATTTTTATTTTTCCAATATTGTTTTGGATGTTTATGATTCTTTGAGATTGCAGGTAAATCTTAGGATTATTTCTATCTTTGAAAAACAAAAACCCCAAGGATTTAAAGATTGCATTGAATCTATAGATCTCATTATGTATGGACATTTTAACAACATCAAGTTTTTGAATTGGTGAACTCAGAATATCTTTCAATTTAATTGTGTTATGGGTCATATCTGGATGTCCCTACAAAGTGTCATGTGCTCGTAGGTGAGGCTTTTGGAAGGAGATTGGATCAGAGCTGTGTGATATTTTATCAGCATATTGGTTCACTGATGAGTTTATAGCTAAGTGTGATGTTGGGAAGGTGGGTCACTGGGGGTGGATCTGGAAGGGCCTATCTCCTTCCCTCATCCCTTGATGGTGCCCTGCTTCTGGTTGCCCTGCCAGGAACAATTCTCTGCACTGCACCTCTGCCATGCTGCCCTGCCTGGGAGCCAGCAGAATATGGACTGAAACCTCCACCAACTGTGAGCCAAAATAAACCTTTCTTCCTTTAAATTGTGAGTACTGAGTAGTGTGTCTCAGTAAAGAGGAACTAAAACATTGTATCTTTCCTTATTTCAATAATTGGAGCTTTTTCAGAGGTGGCCGAATCTAGGGTGTGTGACTGATTCATGCATGGTGCAGTGCTGGGATTAAGGAGATGAGGATTAAAAGTGTGTGATTACTAAATCAATGCACTAATTGGTTTGGCACCACCGGTGGACTGGATAAATTTAAGGGACAGAAAGAGGCTTATCTTGTCCTTGCTTGCTTTTGCTGTCTTCTGTTTGCCATGAACCAATTCTCCTCTGGGATGCCCCCTGCCAAACCACCCTGCCTTGGAGCTGGCTGATTATGGGATTATGGACTGAAACTTTACACACTGTGAGCTAAATAAACCTTTCCTCCTTTAACTTTGGGTGTTGGGTATTTTGTCTCTGCAATGAGAAAAGTGACTAAGACTTTGCTAGTACTGATTTTTATGGAGGATTTTTACAACAATAATTATTGGGGATATTGCCCTGCTATTTCCTTTCTCATATTATCTTCATCTGATATTGATATTAAGGTAATACTGGCCCCATAAAATGAGTTTGGAAGTGTTCTATCCTCTTCATATTTTGAAAAAATTTGAGAAAGTTCAGAGTTAATTCTTTAAGTTTTTAATAGAATTCTCCAGTGAAGGCACCAGTGATGTATATTTGGGGGGGGGGTGTTGTTTATTCCTTTCTCTTTACCAAATACATGTATTTAGTTTTTTAATTCATGATTTAGTTATGGTAGGTTTTACGTTTCTAGGAATTTATCCATTTTTTCCTGTGCTTTCCAATTGTTAACATGTACTTGTAATCTCTTGGTATCCTCAGCCCATTTTCTGCTGCTATTCCAGAATACCACAGACAGGGCACTATATAAAGAAATTTATTTCTCACAGTTCTAGAGGGTGGGAAGTCCAACATCTAGGCACTAGGGTCTAGTGAGTTCCTTCCTTCTGCATCATAACATGGCAGAGAGCACCGCATGATGTGAGCACATGTTGTGCCAAGAGCTTACTTTTATACCAAGGCTAATCCTGAGAACTGACCTGCTCCTTCAGTAATGGCACGAAGCAGCCCCCAAGGGGTAATTACCTCTTAGAGGTCTCACCTCTAAATGCTGTCATACACAGTGGTAGTTAAGTTTTGGAGGGAACGGTCATACATACCATAGCAGATTCATTTTATTTTTATGGTATCACAAATTGTAATGTTTTCTCTTGAATTTCTAATTTTTGTTATTTGAAACTTCTCTTTTTTTTCCCTTAGGGTCTCAATTTTGTTTTGTTTGTTTTTTTTAAACTCTCTTGGTTTCATTAAAATTTTTGGTTTTGTTTTTTCTAGTTTGGGTGCAAAGTTAAGTTGTTGGTTTGAGATCTTCAAGTTTAAGGTAGGCTTTTGCTACTACAAACTTCCCTTTTAGTACTGTTTTTTCTGCTCCCCTTAAGTGTTGTTTTGTTATGTTCATGTTTTCTTTTATCTCAATGTATATTCTAGTTTTGCTTTTGATCTCTTATTTGATCCATTAGTTGTTCAATAATATGTTGCTTAATTTATACATGTGAATTTTTGAATTTTTCTTGTTCTGTTGACCTAGTTTTATTCCATTTTATTCAGAAAACATATTGGTATGATTTCAGTTTTCTTAAATTTGTTAATATGTGTTTTGTGGCCTAACACGATCTATCCTGGAGAGCATCCATGTTTGCTTGAGGTAAATATATATTCTGAATATATATTCTGAATTGTATATATTGGGGCCATATAGACATGTTTCTTTTCTGATTGTAGCTGATATAAATATGATTACTTCTGCTGTTTTTTGGCCACTATGTGCAATGATTATCTTTTTTCATCCTCTCAGCCTAGTAGTATCCTTAAAGTTGAAGTGAGTTTCCTGAAAACAGCATATATTTATACTTAGATGTTATTTTTGTATTCATTCACTCTTTTTCTTGGGGAGTTTAATCCATTTACATTTAGAGTAATTACTGATAGTGAAGGACTTTCTATTAACATTTTATCAATTATTTTCTGTATGAGTTATTTTGTCCCTCCTTTCTTTTTTCCTTTGTGTTTCATGATTTTAAAAATTGGTAGTTATGTGCTTTGCTTGTTTCTTGTTTTCATTTATGTATCTTCTATAGGTATTTTATTTTGGGGTTCATTGGGATTAAATAAAACATAGCTATAACAACCTGTTTTAAACTAAAAACAACTTCACTTGAATACAAGAACTCTACCTAATTTATCTCTACTAGTTCATGTTATTGATGTCACAAATGACATTTTTGTATTTTATATCCATTAACATAGTTGTAAAGTTATAGTTCTTTTTTGCACTTTGATGTTTTAAATGCTATATCACAAATAATGATTTATATACCACCATTATAGTGTTGTAAGATTCTGTGTCTTTATATTTACTTTTATCTGAGAGTTTTATATTTTCATATGCTTTCATGTTGCTATCTAGCAATTTTCATTCCAACCTAAGGCATTCTCTTCAGCATTTCTTGTAAAGTAGGTGTAGTGGTGATTAGCTCCCTTAAATTTTGTACTCTGGGAAGATCTTTGCTTTTCCAAATTTAAAAGACAATTTTGCTGGATGTAGTAATAACTGTAGTGTGTGTGTGTGTGTGTGTGTGTGTGTGTGCGCGTGTGTGTGTGTGTGACAGAGAGAGAGAGTATTCTTGGTTAGCAGTTTGTTTTTTCTTTCAACACTTTGAATATATCATCCCCTTCCCTTCTGGCCCATAATGTTTTTTCTGAGAAATTCTCTTAACTGTTTTTCTCATTGCTGAGACAAAATACCAGACACAAGTTAAAGGAGGAAAGGTTTATTATAGCTCACAGTTCATAGAGGTTTCAGTCTATAGTCACTGGTTCCAAAGCAGGGCAGCATGGCAGAGGAAAAACAGTTCATGCTGTGGCTGGCAGGAGGCAGTAAGCCTGCCTTCCATCTTTCTCTTTATTCAATGCAGGGTACAAGCCTATTGGTTAGTCCATCTGCACCCAAGGTGGGCCTTCCCGTTATGCACATGCAGAGCTATCCTAAACCAATCAGTGGACAAATTTAGTAATCACATACCCTTAATCCATATTTACACACTCTAGATCCAGCCATCTCTGAAAAGCTCCACCTATGAGTGCATGAGGCTTGGGGACTCATCTAGATACAAGCCGTAACAGAAATCCACTGATAGTCTCATAAAAGCTCTCTTGTATGTGGCAAGTCACTTTTCTTTTGGTGTTTTCAAGATTTTATATTTGCCTCTAATAGATTATAATTTTGACAGATTATGATATATCTTGGTGTGGAACTTTGAGCTCATCTTAGTTGGGGTCCTATGAACTTCTTGAAGATGGGTAACCATTTTTTGTCATTGATTTGGGAGGAAATCAATAATGTTTCTGCAGACAAGCTCCCTACCTCCTTCCTGCTCCTTTATTTCTCTCTTTTCCTTTTTGGAGTCCTATATATTGTGCCATAAATCCCATAGACTGTCATTTTAGTTTTTGTTTCCCTGATTCATTAATATGAAATGATTTGTCTTAAAGCTGCCAGAGATGCTACAAGTTCTCTAAAGAAGCAACGATCCACCGAGCTCTCCCTTGTTCTTTCTCTCCTGTAGCCTAGATATGCCAAGTTCCCATTAGTGTTCTAAATCAGGCAAGACATAAACAAATCTTGTGGCCAGCCCTGTGAAGAACTGCAATGTCTTCTTTCTACTTTTTTCCCCCCCACATACTTCCTACTCCTCTGTTTCATTCCTGAAGGACAAGGTTCAAGTTGGTTATTTTTCTGCTGATTGTGTCAAGCTATGATGGCTTTGGGGTGTGGGTGAGAAAATGATAGTGGGTTAAATACAATGGTGTATAGTTTTGTTCATGGTTTTGTATTTGTCTGGTATACTGCGATTTCCTCACTGGTTTCTGAATTTCTCATAAAGATTTTTTTATTTGTGTACTCTTGTTAGTGTCTCTGAGTAGGAATGAGATTTGGAGTTACCTTGATGATGTAAATCCCCAGGAGCTACTTTTTGAAACAATGAATAATTCTCCACTTGAAATGGAATGGCCTTGCTCTAGAAACCTAGGGGGCTGCATTGTGACTCAATTTGATGCTTGTGAGAGATTCTACACTTTACTATGATCTGTTATGGAGACTTCTGGCAACATTGGATATTCCGAGTCATGAGACACCAGTGCAGGGGCCAATTGCTTTAGAGTCAGAACATGTTATAAAGGCCTCCATTGTCCTGGATACAACTCAAAACTGCAAATTTTTCACATCACCTAATAAATGAATTGAGCAATATTTCTTATTATGGCATATGGCTTCTTCAAAATATAGTAAAGCTTTTTCCAAATATAATATGTGCTTCTTCTTTTAGTAGAAAGAAGTATGGGATGATACTATGTTGGAGGTAATATCACAAAATGTAGATCAGTGTCATGTTCTGCAGAATGTCAAGGTTATAAAGTCCCTTACGACTCTTGCAATGGAGAAAGGAAAATTAGGAAACCCTATGACAAGACCATGCATACTTTTGCAATTTATCATAGGCTAATGGAAACAACTTCTGATCCTTCTTCATAGTGACCAATGAAACAAGGCATATGCTATATTGATATCTGTATCAGGATTTTAGAGGGTGTTTTTGTCTGTTCTCATAAAAATTCAATTTATTCACGTTGACTGTGATTGAGGCTACCAGCTGGTTAAGTCTGTGTAGTTGAATGTCATCTTCCATAATCTATCTGCTTTGCATAAGGGCTGACATTGAATTAAATGGGGACATGATGAGGATTTCCACTTCTTCTCTCCTTAAGTCTTTCAGGGAGACACTAATCTCAGCCATTTGACCTAGGATGTGCTATATTTCATCATTTACTATCTTGGTGAAGCTGGGGAAAGTCTCAACATCTTACATTTGTTCTTTTCAGTCTTATTATAATGACATTTTCCCCTAAGTTTCAGAAACAAATAGTTCTCCATATATCCATGCTGATTATGCTTCAAGTGGCTCAGGAAAAAAACAACAACACAGGATGCAATTGTAGACCTATTGTGATGGTGAGAGAAACCTCAGTCATTCCATTACCTTCTTGCCATCTGCCCACCCTATAACAAAAAGGCCATGAGGGCATTTTGTGTCTCATTATTAAACAGCTCTTAAATATCTGGGTATTCTCCTTCCCCTACTATATGGTTACTTTAGGAAATAAATTCTTTTAGGGAACCATTAGGGGAATTGTGATTGCATATATTTGCTTCAGAGAAACTTTCCTCAAGAAACATAGATTTCTTTCTAATAAGTAGACTCTACTTCAAGAACTAGCTCAGGTACAGTAACAGGACAAAGCATTGTAATTTACGTTTCTATTGGCTAAGGTTAGGTTTTTCACATATTCTCAGTGGTTTTGGTTTAATAAATAAAGCAATAGTTTCCTTGCTTGTCCATTTTTCTGACCCTTAGGAAATCCATGATCTTTGCAGAAGATCTCTGTAAGCCTCACTGACCTCCATTATGTGATAATGTCTATTTCATCTAAGTAGTTAAGTACTGCTATATTATCTCTGAAATTCTGGAGTCTTACATTTCTGTTCCCATTAGGGTTTCCAGATCCATAGCAGCACCTCTGAGTAGGGAAGATGCTACACTCGGTGACACATTCTTTTTTACTTTAGTGAATGAAGTATTGGGAATACAATTAATGGGAAGATTTTTTTAGTATTGAAGATTTTGAAATAATAAATCCATTCTAATAGGTCTACCTCTGCGAACTATTTGACTCCTTCCCTAACCTGCTACAGCAATTCTGAAATTTCCACCTTGTGTTCAATATGGCTTTATTGTTTTCAAATTTCAAGGTACCATTCTAACAACATATTAGGATGGGATGCAGGCATTCTTGTTAACATGTGAAATCATGAATCAAGAATAAGGATTCCCTTATTCTTTCTTCCAGCCTTATAATCCATCCTTCATGGTCTACTACTTTTAGGCTTCAATCCCAGACATGTTCTTCTAGTTTCTGCCAATGTAACATAGCAGCCAAGTCACAGAGCTTAATGAACAATCCCTTCATTCATTTAGCAAGAAGGGTAAGTTTTAATTGGAGCATACTGTGGCTGTACTTCAAGTAATAACTTTTCCTTAAATAATGAAGGGAGGCAGAGAATAGCTTGAGAAGATAATCCTCATTCTGTGAAGGACTTTGAGACTTCTTAACAATGTATGACAGATTTCTCTCAAGCCTAGTAACTTAGAGCAACAAACATTTATTTTCTCAAATAATTCTGAGGGTTAGAAACCTTAGAGCAGCTTAGCTAGTTCTCGCTCATGGTTTTCCATATTGTTGTAGTTAGAACACTGGCTGGAG